CTCGGGGTTGGGGGCCTGGGGGGGGGCCCGCCCGCCCCTGGCCTCCGGGGCCTGTCTGTCCATTGTCACAGGGGCTTGGTGCGGCCCATCACCTCCCCATGCTGCAGGTCGCTTCTCTCGTTCCTCGTCTGGCCTCGTGGGGACTGGGGTACCTCACGAGCCCGGACGCTGCTTCGGCACTCGGCTTTGTCCAAACATGGCTGCTCTGGAGACCAGCACCTTGTCCCTGTCTGGTGCTTGGTGGCATTTCAGGTTTCCTGTCCTGTTTAGGGACAGGGCTTTACTACGCACCACACAATGTACTTCTCTGCCGCATCCCGCAACCTGCCTGGCTCTGCGCAGAATCAGCTGTCCCCTGCGTCCGCTTTCTGCCTTCTGTAGGTGCTCACCCACCATCTCAGGGTGCGTGTTGACTGTGTGCTCGCAGCAGCAGGAGAGGACGGAACCAGTAGGACGTTTCTGTCCTCCTGAAATGGGAAGGACATCCCTGGGATCGCTGCCTGCTGCCCGAGGAGTGGGAACACCCACTCCCCAAGGGGGGATGCCCACCGAATCCGAATGTGGAGGAGGCAGGATGTGACTCCAGGCTGAGGCAGAGCCGGCAAAATATGTCAGCTCTCCGTTTTGGGGGCTTTCTGTTATCGTGGTGGTGGTGTGCGGGTGGGGAATCTTCCCGGTGTCCTTGGGAGGGCCTGGCAGCCGATGTCCATCACAGTACCCTCCGCTGGTACACCACCGAGCAGCCAGTTCAGTTTGTTTCTCATTTTGAGAGGAAAAGATGCTGGTTTACATTTCTTGTTCTAACAAGCACCCAGTCATGGGTAATTTTACGCTGGTGGCATGGTGGGAATCCACGTGAGCAAAATGGTGCCACGCAGTTGCAGAGCTGGCTTTCACATGTGCCGTTTTGATGCATTTTGTTTCTGTAACCTTTACCTTTCTAGGACGTCACTGAGCCCTCAGCATCTTAAAACGCCTCTGTACAAACACCACTGCTCAAATGTAGTCCTAAAGCTAAACGAGTGACCTGATTTTCTATCCCACAAACCCCAGTCCCACGCAGCCTAATTCTGCTCTGAAAAGAAATCCTGGAGAAGTGGGATTGCGTGTTGGCTGACTAAACCATCTCGGTGTTCATGCATAAACAAGTGTGTGTGTGTGTGACAGTTTTTTTCTGCTCACTGCCAGCCCTGTAAACTCCATCTGGACCGAGGCAGCCAAATTGCCATTTTTTTCTGGAGCACAGGACAGGAGATTCTGCCTTCAGACAGATAATGTGTGCGCAGACCAAAAATCTCGTCTCTCACCCAGACCTGTGCCTGGCTGAGCCACTTGAGAGCAACCAAGCAAAATATTCCTTTGACAAAGGTGGTAACCGTGACGCCACAGACGCAGAAAGCAGCCTAGTTGTGAAGGCGGCGTTTTTCCCTCCACCTGCAGAACAGAACTGCATTAACCACATTATGTTCTCATTTAGTTCGCTAGGAAGAAAGGTGATGGAGAGAAAATGGTTTGAGGAATCGATATTTTCCTTATACAAAACTCAGCCGGAGGCATTTCTGGTCCGGAAGTGCAGCAGGAGGAACATCCAGCCACTTGGGAGAAGGCAGCAAGCCGGCAGGCAGCTCTCCGCAGCATGTGTAGTTGACCCCCTCTTCGCTACACGAGCCGGCCGTGGTTATTGGGTGTGCGTGGCAGAACAGGCGGGGACCCTGACTCGTGTTTCTGGGTGTCATTTTCCTCTGGTCTAGGTTGCTTTCATCTCCTAAGTACTTATCCTCCCGTAATCTCGCTCTACAGCACCGCTGCTGTGGCAGGTATTTATTACATCTGTTTTCTTTCCTCTGATCAGGGTCTGCGGTCCCTGACTTGGCTTTAACCTCCTGGATGGAGTGAAGAGAAACAGCTTTGGGGCCAGAAGCAGCTAAGCACCCTGATAGTAGAGAGATTGCTCACAAGGTGAGAAATTGACTAGAACATGTCTGGGAAGGGAAGAAAAGAGCTGAATGCTGAAAATTTGGCATGTACTGTGCTGCACGCTCCGCGCTCACCCTGCCTCTTCTGCTCCCATACTGTATAGACTCTGCTTTCAGGAAGATTCGTAGGCAGGGTATGATAAAGATGAAACACATCCCTGGGGAATCTAAATACCCTTTTGAAAAGAGCCTATCACAAATGAAATCAAATCTTGTGTGTTTTTCAGCAAAAACTATAGTCAGAATGTTAGAAGGCATAACTAACCAAAGCGTGGCTTTTCCTTCCTTTCATGCTGACAATATTTTTAATGTTTTATTGGTCATTTTGCTGCCGTGGGCCAGTGCTATACCTTTATTTGTAAAACAAATGTTTCTCAGCCCTGAGTGTTGTAAACAAAACTTTGGAAATCAGTATAACCAGTGTGGTATTGTCTTCCAAAATCAGCAGATCACCCGAAACAAAACCAGAGGGGTTTATCCTGCTGCATTCGTCTCGTATTCTGACCTCCCACATGTAAGAGGATGATGTTAAGTCGCTGAGCAGCGTCATCCAGCTGACCGGCTTACCTCACACTCCAGCATCTGTTGCCGAGGTGTGTTCTCCATATAACTAATAATAAAAACAGGAGCTTCTAAATGTTTCAGTCTAAATGTTCATTTCCATGCTTGGTTAATAAAACAGTTCATCGTTCCACTTGCCTATCTGTTCTGTAGACAAAATCTAGATACAATTTGCTGCAGAATATGTAGGGCTTGCTTTTTAAGGAAAAGGGCTATGACTGGGAAGAAGAAGGAAGAGAGTCTAGTTGGCAGGGTGGATGTCCCTGTGGTGTTGGCTGTTTCTTTCCATGATTAAGCATGGGAATGGTGGAAGAAGAGCAGTGATTCATAGCCAATGGGAAGAGAAGCCGCTACAGTGGTTGTTGAGGAGAACAGTGATGATGCTCCTCTAACCTCGCTAGACATGGGAGCTTTGAGGACAAGCAGGTAACAGGTTTTGTCCTTTAGGGCTGTCACTTTATGACAGAGGACCCTCTTTGCAGTCGGTGCCACAGTGGCTGCCCATCCTCGGGTCACACTCCCTTCCCGTGCTCCTCGGTCTCCGTGCCCTCCCTCTGCCCAGAGAAGATTCCGAGGGGCTGGCTCCTGTGCGGTTACCTAATGGTGGCTGACGGGCAGCAGGTCTCTGTGGCTGCCCTGTTTGGACTTGTCCCTCAGAGAAGCCCGGGGGGTTATTCATTGCTAGTTCCTCTGTTCACTCCAGCAGGTGACAGGACCATGGGCGACACGCAGAAGGGCAAGCTTCACCAGGGAAGTCCTGTGAGAGCTGAACTGCATCTGTTCCCCTCCAGAAAGCTCACAGGTGATACCCTTCAGGACACCGATCAAAGACAGGACCGCAGGCAGGAGCTGGAGACCGAAAGTGAGGTGGAGACGTCTTTTGGAAAGAGGCGGGCAATGGTAACACCCTGTGGGATGGAAGTCTGGGAGTGCGAGGACAGTGGCAGAGCGCACATCAGCAAGGTCATCCTTGCTGGGGACGAGCCGGACCCACCCATGTGTGGGAACGGTGCCATTTGGATTCAGCAGGTGGGAGAGAAAACCTATGAGTGTCCCGAGTGTGGGAAGAGCTTCAGCCGGAGCTCGTACCTGAGCCAGCACCAGAGGATCCACCTGGCAGAGAAACCCTTTAGCTGCTCCGAATGTGGGAAGAGTTTCACCCGCAACTCGGACCTGATCAAACACCAGCGGATCCACACCGGTGAGAAGCCGTACCAGTGCAACGAGTGCGAGAAGACCTTCAGCCAGAGGTCCAACGTGCTCAGGCACCAGCGGACCCACACGGGAGAGAGACACTACCAGTGCAACGAATGCGGGAAGAGCTTCAGCCAGAACTCGCATCTCATCGTCCACCAGCGAAGCCACAAGGGAGAGAAACCCTTTCACTGCCCCCGGTGTGAGAAAAGCTTCAGCGACCGCTCCTCCCTGATCATACACCGGAGAGTCCACACCGGAGAGAAGCCCCACAAGTGCCAGGAGTGCGGGAAGCGTTTCCGGGACAGCTCGGCCATCATTCGGCATCAGAGGATCCACACGGGAGAGAAACCGTACGAGTGCACCGAGTGCAGGAAGACCTTCCGGCAGAGCTCCTCGCTGGTGACCCACATGCGAACGCACACGGGCGAGAAGCCCTACAAGTGCCTCGTGTGCGGGAAGGGCTTTAGCCAGAGCTCGGCGCTCACCACTCACCGCCGGATCCACGGTGGGAAGGCCTTGCCCGTGTACCACGGCGGCCTCCTGCCCAGCTCCTTCCAGTGTGCCGAGTGCGGCCGGAGGTGCAGCGACCGCTCCGCTCTGGCCAAGCACCAGAGCACGCACGCCGAGGAACGGCCCTACATCTGCGTGGAGTGTGGGGACAGCTTCCGCCGGAGCTCGGCTCTCAACGTGCACCTGAGGATCCACCGCGGGGAGAGACCTTACAAGTGCGAGGAATGCGGAAAAACGTTCAGGCATAGCTCAGCCCTCGGTGCCCACCTGAGGATCCACGCAGGAGCCAAGCCCTACGAGTGCGGCGAGTGTGGGAAAAGCTTCCGGAAAAGCTCGACGCTTCAAGTCCATTTGAAAATCCACGCGGCCAAGAAACCTTATAAATGTACGGTGGGCAGGAGAACGCTTGCGTCTCGCTCACTGCTGCCATAGGGCTGGAGCGGACGTTCGGAGCAGGAGAGAAAAGCAGTGTTTGGGTGCACCTGAAAAAGGTGGGTGATGAGAACCACGGTGGGAAGAGACTGGCTGGAGACATGTTGACTCTGGGGTCCAGGCTGGGCGCTTAACCCCAGCAGCAGAAAAACCACTGGGAGGTCTGGAAGCAGGGAGCTGGTCCTGCGAGCCGAGTGCTGGTGGTTTAGCAAGAACACCGAGAGCCCGAGGAACGGGCACCAGCTTCTGGGTAAAGCGGGGGCTGTGAACATGCGGTAGGGTAACAACTGGGAGAATCGGGCTTGTGAAATAACTTTTCAACTGAAGGTCAAAATAAAAAATTGCGGGTCGGTTCTTGACTCAAAACTTTGGCTTGTTCGACCCTGTCATAGTCTTAGGAACTCTCGTTACCTTCCCTTGTTTTTCATGAACGTAGTGGAGTTTACCCAGTGTTTGACAGGGCGCTTCCAGATCTTTCGAGTCTGAGACTCTGGAGCTGAACCTCAGTCTGTCTTTTCTTCCTCCTTTCCAAATCTTACATGGGACAGGGAATTCCTACCTCTGCGCTACCTCTCCAGAAAACACGGATGCGCACGCGTTCCCGGTTGGAACGCTGCCCGTTCCTAGCCCGTGGCGGCTTCTCCCAAGTTGCTCCTCTCTGCTTTGAAACACCTCCAACTTGGGGCATCGACAAACTGTGGGCAAAAACGTGGCCTTTCCTGATTTAACCAAAGACAATTCCCCCGCCCTGAGATGTGGTGGTCAGAGCCGGTAGACGGCGAGTTCCTAGCGCTAGTCCACAGACCGCCTGCAGTTTTGCTGTCCTTTTTGTGATAGAATACTCTTCACTATTGTTTGTAAAGTATTAATACGTAAAGCTCGGCACTACCAGTTGGGAATTACTCTGTTGACTGCGGATTACACGCTCCTCCTCTCTACTGCCGTGTTTTGTTGCCGGCAATGTGTTCCCATCCTAAATAAACCCGTTGTTCCCCCGTGCGATCCAGTCCTCTGCCCCTGCCTATG